TCAGGCACTGGAAGGGCCTGCCCAGGGAGGTGGTGGAGTCACCATCCCTGGAGGTATTTAAGAAACGTGTAGATGTGGCTCTTCAGGGCATGCTCTACTGCCCACGATTGTTGGGTTTCGTCTGTTCGGGGGGGGGGGGGTGTGTGTGGTGTGTGTGTGTGTCTATGAGCACCACTTGCTGTATTTTAGAGCGGGTGATGACGTGATCCTTGGTGTGATGGTGCAACATTTGGCTGAGGAGTGGGAGAAGGCAGCTCAGACAGAGCGATTTCCCGAATACATATTTAAAACATGCGAGTAAGAGGGTCTGGGTACTGCTGGGGCAACAGCCGCAGCATCAGACACCGAGCCAAGACGCCCTCAGGCTGCAGGGGGAATTAAAAAGGCTGTATCGCTAGAAACGTCTGCCTCGCTGCGGGGCTATTTGGAGACAAGAAAAGGAAAAAAGAAAGGAAATTGAGAGGCGTTTGCTGGGGGAGGAGGTGTAATTTTGGGGCGCCCGGGGCGAGTGCCGCACTGCCTGAGCGACGACACCACGCTTTTTACCCCCAAATGGGGTTTTTCGCCCCGGCACGACCCCTCCCACCTCCGCGGTAAAAACGGCGCCCCGTGGGCAAAAGACGGGGGAAGCGCCCCGCGGCGACGACACCACGCTTTTTACCCCCAAATGGGGTTTTTCGCCCCGGCACGACCCCTCCCACCTCCGCGGTAAAAACGGCGCCCCGTGGGCAAAAGACGGGGAAAGCGCCCCGCGCAGGCACCGCTGGGATTCGAACCCAGGATCTCCTGTTTACTAGACAGGCGCTTTAACCAACTAAGCCACGGCGCCGCGCGATATGCACGGCTTCCGAGCGGCCCCAATACAGCCACCCGCCCCTGCCCGCCGCCCGCTGCGGGACAGGGGGATGGCAAGGGACTAAAAACAGCTATAAGCAACGAAACTTACCCATTTCACTAAAAGCAGAATAAAAGAGCTCACTTTTCCTTGTTTTTTCTCAATTTGGGAAACAGAGCGCTGGCTCGAAAGAAAACTTCCAACCCATTGATCGAACCAACCCTCCACAGAGCAACTGCTTTTTTTTTTCCTATTTCAGGGGGAAAAAAAATGGAGCTTTGATTTTTCCACCTGAAAAGGGTAAAAAAAGAAACAAAGAATGCTTTCAATCCTAATACAATGTTAATTATTCTAGAACTAACTATTTCTAACATACAGAAATTGGTTCAGTGTTATTAACTACATTAAAGCCAAATTAATTCAGCTGTGAAACTCGCACATTTTATGTTATCTGTTTTTGAAAAAAAACACACATGAGGAGCATAGACAGAGCATTTTCTCTTAGCCCCTGTAACAGAACAATAACATTTAATTAAGGAGTAAAGAGGGGAAAAGAATGCTGGAAAATAGTACGATTTATCACCTAATACTATTTAAAGCCATAAATCTGTAAAACACTGTAACTATTCCTTAGAAATATTTTTCATTTAACCTTGGATTCAAGTGCAGTTGTTACTACACAATTTAAACAAAAGAAAAAAATCCACCTACTTAGATTTCTTTGTGTTCCACAGCTTGACTGCATTCCAGGCTGTCACATGCTCAGTTCCAACTATTTTCCCCACTTTAAGTTCCTTTTAGAAAGAAATGTCGAAAAGGTTGAAAATACTACCTTTAGGAAAAAGGCTTCCAAACATTTTGAAACACTTAATCTTTTATGAGTTGACATTCTCCCACACCCTGAATAGCTGTAACCCTCTCAGGGCTGCTCCTACGAACGGGCGGACAAACCCGAGCTCCTGCTGGAGGAGCCTCTATCCCCCGGAGCTGGTCGGTGCTGCACCACCTCAGACACAGCCACACGCGTCTGTGCCTGGAAGCTCCTTTACAGAGTAAGGACTATGGCAACAAATTAGTGGTCTGTCTAAAGAATGGAAGGAAACCTGTCAATAATTTAGATATCCACATATTTTTCTTCAGTAAGTTGAACTTGGAACTACTGTATTCATTTAAAATTGTTTAAAATTTCCCAAAGGACAAGTCAGTAATTTCATTCTCTAGTACCATGCAGCATAAATAGGATTTATACTCCTGGGGGTTTTATTCTTTACCTGATATATCACAGCTATTTGCTGGATTGTTACAATGCATTTTATTATTCTTCATGCAGAACACTGCAGTACAGCAAGGTCTCTTAGCTTTATATGCGCGTTACAGAAAGCTCAGCTTTATAGGTGCATTACAGAAGGACGCACAGACACTCCATTTATATGTAAATGTGTTACCATCCCAAGGCTGCTGGATTAATTCAAAGGTCAGGAGAAACAGGAGGTGGCAACGGCAAGATGTGTCTCACTGGAGCAGACAGACAGACAGACAGAACACACACCTGGGTATCACCTCAGAGTCACTGTGCTGCAGGCACAAGAAAGGTTTTTCACATTCTTCACACTGGCATAAATGTAACCAAAAAAAGGCTTTTCAGTTAATCATCTGTGACAGATATAAATATATGTAGGTACAAATATACCTAGGCCTGATTTTTGAGATCGGAGTGCATGTAGCTGTCATGAACTTGACACAGATAGTATTGCTCAAAACTCATTCCTGGGAAGAATGGCTTGGAGGTTTTTTCCTGAGCAGAACTTTATTTTATGTGAACTCTAACTTTATTCTTTTCAGCTGTTGGCTGGTCCATCTGGGTGATAATCACTAGCTGGTTTGGGGCTCTTTTTGTTTCCTGTTTTTTTACCTGACCGTTATCTAACTAAAGGAGAAATAGAAAAGTAGGAAGAAAAATTAAAAAAGGAAAATTGATACATAACAATAATTTTAGATGATGAACCCACTGTAGTCAATACAAAGTTTTTCTACTGACTACAAACATTTTCATGAAGTTTAATCCACTTCTATCAGCATCAACACCAATTCCTAGTTGTGAAACTTGTGAAACTATTTACTGAAACTTTGAGACATTTTTCTATTGCTTGGTATGCCTTAAATATTGCTAAAATGCACAAAAAAATCCTTTTCTGTACCAATTTTATTCTCAAATTTCTGTTAATTGATACTTCTAGGAATGCACATTTTCACTGATAGCACATTTATAAAACTTACTTAAAAGCTTAAAAAGCTGTATGCTGCTTTTGAGTACCTCCTGTTCAGCAAGAAATTATCATTAAAATATTATAGAAATAATATTAATAAAAGTTAGTTCTTTTTCATGCAGTTTTATTTAATGGTTATTGACAAGGAGAAAAATACACACAAGATCTTGCAAATCCACTACCAAAACTGTAATAAAAAGCATGTTTCAATGCCATTGAGTTTGTTAACGTTCTTCTTTCCTAACATCTATTTATAATTCATGTTTTAGAAGACAGAATACATGCAGTCCCAGCTTTAAAAAGACACTCCTAAGAATTCATATAAACTGATTTATGTCCAGGACCACATGAATATTACCTGCCATGTATACTCCTGTATAAGCAGCCAATTACTCTGCAGAAGCACCAAGTGTAGAAAAACAAAATATGTTTATTTTTAGAAGTACACATATGTGGCTCTGTTTTCTAAAAATAAAAATGCACCTGTACAGGAAAACTGGTGCCCCTACCAAAATCAATTTTAAAAAAACCTGTTATTTCTACATCCCACTCCCAAAAAAGGATTTGCCAATCTTGGCAAATAGAGAACAAACACAGTCTGTGTTCTCAGCCTAGAAATCTGACAGCTTTCCTTTAACATTCAGATTTTCTTTCTGAACAAATTATGAGGTGTGGTTAAAAAACAAAGTGAGAACCTGAGTGATTTTTGAGCCTCTTGCTTTTCCGCTTTCTGTCACTGAATGAGTATGATCCATCTTTTCAATATTCCACAAAGTAGAATCCTAAGAAAAAGATGCAATTATTTTGAGGTATTTGCCTATTACCAAGAGAGTGATTTACATCATTTCCGTAAGGATGAAAACTCACTCATCACATGAGCCCTCTCAAATACGAGAGCTAAGCTCTCTCACGTTTAAATACCATGCCTTTGGAAAGAACCTTTAGCAATCTTAAAACTGCCTGCACATTTTAAAATAACCAAATTAAGTATGCTTATTAAATTCTAAAGATTTTCTGTAACTACTTGAGGTAAATACTTTTATGAACAACTTCACCATTGTTAATGGCCCCACACCCAGCAGTGGCTTAAATCCCTTACTGGGCTGGGCCATGTTGCAGGATTGAACCCTCACTGCTAAGTGACAAGTGGCCAGCTACTCTGCTTTTGTTGAAATTGTTCAGCAGCTAAAACAGAACCACATTTTACTAAAAGCAAGTTACCAAAAACGCTACCCATTTTCCACTAAATAAATAGCATGCATCTATCTCATAATGTAAATTTCGACTCAAACATTTAGAGGAAAATATTAAACAATTCTAGATTAAAGTCCAATTTTGGAAGCAGTGATACCCATCAGACAAGAAATCTGCATGTTCCAGAACTGGGCAAGGACTCGAGTGCTTCCTGAAATCTGCAGCGGGGAAAGGATTATGAGCATCTCTTACAGGAAACAATGCTGGAGTCACTGCAATTTAAAAGAAACATTACAATCTTCCAGATTGAATTTCCCATCCAAAGTAATGCCTAATCCCTCAAAGACAATTTTATTACAGTGTTTAAAGGCAGACTCTCTCTGATTATTGTTTTAAGAATTCAAAGCTAAATTGGTTGAGTTTATTTAAAGCCACTGATATTTTTAAGGCTTGATTTGACATCTCTATTGTTGCATACTTCCTCCTTAAACTAACAATATCCTAAACTGACATAATGTTTTTACTGTATTACTGACTTCAGTGAGAGATGTTAAGAGTTTTGCATGTGAAGGCTCAGGAGATGATACTGGGTAACGCTTCTGGCACTGGCACCACCTTCTCCAAAAGCATATAAGGAAAAATGATCTGGAAAAACCACCTCTGTACTCAGAGAGTGGCCATAACTGGTTCACTGTGAAAGTGAAAGTACATATTGAGCTGGGGCTCACAGCATCTGTCCTGAATCCAGTCCTATTTCATACTGCCATTAACAATGTAGATAATGAGATAAAGAATACAGAAATGAAATGAAGCCAAAGAGGGTGAGGGTCTACAGTTATACAAGGGAGGAGATTAAAATTCAAAATTATCTTTACAAATTGAATAAATTATCGAGAAAATAAAAGGGTTACAACAGTCTCTATAGGAAACAACGCAGTCGTCACTGCAGTTTGTAGGAGCCTTTAATCAATTACCTAATATGCGTGCTGCCTGATCAGGTCAATTTTATCAAGTCTGACATTCTGTAGTAACATACAAATAATCAGCTGCACAGACAAGGGGTGGGAACAGTGGACTACATCACAGTTCTGAAAAAAAAGGATGCAATAAACGGGGACTCCACCATCATGCTGTCAAAAAAAAGAGAAAAACTCATCCCAGGATGTATGAACAGAGGCACATACACAGAGAAGCATGTAATAATAATTCATTTCTGGGTTTTTTCCAGTTAAAGGGAATACTGTTTACATTATGGGGCTATATAATTCAAGAAAAACGTGGGCCAATTGGAAAGATCTCAGAGATCAACAAGAATGGTCAGAAAATAGGAAATAATAATTAAATATTAAATTAATAAGGATTGTTTAACCTACTGAAAAGATGACTTGGCAGATATAATAGAAGTTCTTGGAAATATATATATAAATGTAGAAAAAAACAAGGGAATAATCTGATCTCCATGTCTGCAGTGGATCTAAACAGAAACAGGTGAGCTCAAGCTGCAGCCAAAATAGTGCATCTTAGGAAAATCTCTCTAATGATGAACACAGTGAGGCAAGGGAACAGATGGTTTGGCAGCCTGCGAGGTCTCCACTGGAGCTCACGAGGAGCAGAACGCATCATCCTGTGGTTGCTCTGACGCCCAGGAATTTTATGATCTGGTTGCAGTGCAAAGCCTAATTATCACAAAATATTCTGTAAGAACTCATGATTATTTATCAGTTCCCAACATCTAGATATATTTTCTCCTTTCCCTGTGTATTATTTTTGCTTCACTCCATAATGTTTTTAAGGGCTTCACTAATCTAAATATTTTATCTCCTCTTTCATCAATGATGATACATATTTCCTAATTAGTAGAAATCAGAATGTGAAGTTTACACTGCAGTGCCATATTGCATATGCTATCTTCTGCCTCTATGTATACCCAAGAACCTAGAAGCTCTAAAAAAACAGTACTAGAAATGCTCACAATCGTCAAAATATTATTCTTCAATTATTTGCAGCAGGAAGTTTGAGTAGACCACTTTATTCACAGTTTCTGCATATGTCATGTCGTGCAGGTTGGAAAAGACCCTTAAGATCATTGAGTCCAACTGTTACCCCAGCACTGCCCAACCCACCAGTAACCCATGTCCCTCAGCACAACGTCTGCCCGGCTTTTAAATACCTCCAGGGATACCACCACTGCCCTGGGCAGCCTCTTCCAAGGCTTCATAACCCTTTGGGTTAAAAATCTTTAGCTAATATCCATTCAAAACCTCAACCTGGCGCAACCTGAGGCTGTTACATTTCTCCATCAGCTTCTGCCTACTTAGTCTGTTACACAGAGAGTTTTAAGTGATTTCAGGAAGGGACTATCATTTTGTCGCATGTATAAAATGTTCAAAGCATAGTGCAGCCCTAACCATGAGTAAAGCCTCAAAGTTCTTTAGTAATACAAATAAAAATATGAATGAACTTTTACAAATAGATCAGGGTGCCTGACTGTAATCACCCAAACAAAAACACCAGGAGGACTGCTGGCATGCGGAGTAACTCACGCATCAAAGCATCATGGGATCAGTCATCATACCTTCATCTAGGGAAATAATCTTCTATTTCTATGATTAACCCAATTATTTCAATTAGATTTTTGTTTGCATAAGTACCAAGTCATTTCAGAATCAGGAGTTTTACTATTTATCTGTGACTGCAAAAACATTTACAGCTGATATTTTTAAACTAAGCAAAATATCTTCAGAGAGCTCCTTGATGATTCATAACATACCCAGAGCTTCACCATTCTGTCATAAGAGCACGAAAGTATTTTTATGTCTTCAAAGCAAAAGTGGCAGGAGCTCTCAGCGTCACTGTGTCCTCTCAGAATCTCAAAAGGGATCTGTAAAGGAACAGAGCAAAGTTCAGGAATATTTTTCCTTAAAATTATTTTTGACGGCTTAGTCCACAAGGGGGAGTATGAAAGCAAGAACCAGACGTAATAAAAATTTTATGTTCCACTTGTCAGAGAAGTTTCCATCTTCCTCTGGGCAGGGGCCTGGAGCAGCTCTACCAAACATGGCTGAGAAACACAGATTCGTGGATGTGGATTTTATTTTTCTGGAGGGGAAGAGAGGTTTTCTTTGGTTTCCCAAGTCTTCTCCCTCTCATGAAAAGCAGTATTTATCTTTAAATTTCATGAAGTCTCTCTCCAGTCCTTCAAACACTTATTTCCTCGACTCCGGCCCATCGCAGGACAGCACATCCATCTCTGAGACCCCACGGTTTAGCCAAGACCGTTCTAAATTTCATCAAAGGTATTTTGAGGCGGCCTTTCCTCAGTCATTTAGGAGTTTGCTGATGACTGCCCGGCACGCGTTTGTGTGACCAGACCGAACAGAAACACCAGCTGCCGCCATCAACCACACGCCAAGTGACAGAGCGCTCGCCCCCCGCCCCGCTCCCAGCTTTCAGAGTCCCGACCTCCCCCTGACGGGCACGGCCCCTGACCGGGCACGGAACTCTCCTCCCTGCGCCGTCGGATCGCGGTCGCCCCAGCGCCCCTCGGTCGGAGAGGGCGACGGCGGAGACTGCGGGGCCCGGGGCCGCCCCGGGCGCTCCCCGCCGCCATGCGCCGCGCGCGCTCCCTCAGACAGCCGCCACGCCCCTCTCCGCAGGCGGTTCCATTCCCCCCGTCCTGCGAGCTCACGGGTTCGATCCCCGGGCGGGGCGGTCTCCTTACGGTAACAGAGGCAACCTGGCGGCCAAATTTCCTGTTTTTCCTTTCCTCGCTCAAATTTACTTGTTGACGTTGCATTAAAACCCGCACAACCGGTGTCAAGCCGAGGCTACTGTATCACCTTGCTGACACGGAGAGCTGTCACAAGGCTGTGGACACTGAAACACACATCAGAGCACTACCCTCCACAGCACTGAATTTTAGTTTAAGGGTTTTGTTTGTAATTTTAAGCAGGAACGTTCTTTTGGTTCCCCTGTGCACCGGGAAAGAGAAGTTTTGGGCATCTATTTTAACAGCCTGATCATGCAAAAAATTACTATTTCAAAGTTTATAATAAAATAATGCAGTAAAGTACCAATTGCTTTTTAAATGTACTGCATGAAACAAAAAGGAAAGTGGTATAAAGTTTTCACTCTAACTACGTAATGCAGGTTACATTACAATACTAATGGCTTAGTACATCAACCTTAACAATCTGTGTCAAAATGACAGTTTATTGGTGTAGATGTGCTAGGGTAAGGGCTATACACCATATACAACCCACCCCACGTACAGCCAGATACTGCCAAACTGCAATCTGAAATTCTGCATCAGACTCTAAAAATACTTGTACCCAACAGAAGTTTTACATTGCTTTAGTTTTTAACTTCCTAATTTAATTCAGACTGAAAATTAGTCTCCAGGGTTTTGGAGGTCCTAGGCAATTGCTTCCCATACAAAAATTATTTTTAATACTTAATAAACTTAAGTATCTTGTTTCATGTTAATTAAAACAGAGCCTGCAGTGTTTCAGAGTATGCTGCCCTGAAAGAAGTCTTTTCAACATTACATAATCCATACATTTTGAACATATGAAGCATCACAAAATAAACATATGTACATTTACTTTCAAACAAATTCAATATGAATACAGTATCTACAGCGCTTCAAAGTACACAATTGATCTACCATCACAGAGGAGATCAAAAATCGGAGATCAAAGTCCCACAGCACTAAAGAAAGCAAGCTGCCTCTTCAATACTGAAGTTGTTTTAATCTAAAAGGGGAAAGAAGAAGAAAGAGGTCAGACTGGATAGTAACATGCAACAGTAAGAACATTTAATTACTTGAGCAGTTTCTTAAACCTTAGTTTAAGACAGAGGTCCGAGTTATGCGAGATAAAAAACCATTCTCAGTGATAGACACATAAAAATGCAAAGACTTCCAAAATAACTGGTTGTACAAAGAAATCTATTCTGTGCAAAATGCATAAATACATATACATATTTTAGCTATTTAAAAACCAAGAAAAGCAGCTTTTTTCAGTAAGAAAACACCAGTAAGTACATAACTGATGCTCTGTTCCAAAGGAGCAGCAGAGTCCTTTGGAATGCCAGCCCTTCCGTAGGGCAGCTGGATGTGGCATTTCAGCAAATATGCCGAGACCTCTCCTCCACCCAGTCCGAGACACAGAACACAACCCAATTTTCACATTTCTGTTGGTACTATGCTCAAGTCTCTAGTTCATAAAAATGCAACACCACAATCTCAATTTAGCAGACATGTACCTGACGCAGGCATTGTTCCGTTTGCCTCGCTGCTCCTTGCTTGGGCACAAAAATGGTTTAAGCATCAATGCCACACAATGGAGCTATTTGAGTCAGATCTTTTGCTAATTATCAACAAACCAAAGCAGACTCATAACATTCTGAAGCAGACAACGTTGCTTCCAATGTGGCCAAGTAAAAAGAAGTAGACAAAATAATGGAAATAAGAATCACCACCTACACTTGTTCAGTTATTCCCATTCAAAATGCCTTCCAAGAATGCCAGTCGTCATTAACTACAACCTCCATTAACTAGCAGAGTTGTCTATTTAGTGCCCTTTATCTTAAGGAGCTTCCATCCTAAAATTAATTACCCCCAGCTTAAGGTGTATACTATTTGTAATCTTTCCTCACTTTATTAAAAAAAAAAAAAACAAAAAAAGAAAAAGCAGTATTTTGTATTTAGAAAGAGACCATCTGTTACATATTGGCTGCAAATAGGTTCACTACAATGAAAACTCAGAAATTGAGGTTTTGGTTATCCACTGCAAAACTTACAAGTGTTTACATAAACTTTCTGTTTACCTTCTAAGAAGTTCTTTGGGTGACAAGCCTGTGGTGTCTATATCACTAAGGCTGTCACTGCTATCTGTGGTGTCTGAACTGCTGTCTTTTTCTGATTTTTTATTCTTGTGTTTTCCTTTGTTTTTCTGTTTCTTATGTTTCTTTTTCTGTAAAAAGAAGAGAAATAATCCCTTATTTCATTGTGAAAGATTTGGGTTTTTCTGAACGCAAGAAGTTGGTTTCAGTGTAGTCTCCAAGCTTAACTGAAATGGAACATTTAACAATGACACTTTTCCACTACTCAGACTGAGCTAGAAAATACGTACCAAAATCACCCATTTCATCCCAAACACTTGAAACAGAAATGTATACAAATAATAATAATGACAAGCCATGAATTATATGCAGTTCTTCGAATATGCCTGACATCTTCCGTATACAAAATTAAACTGCCCACAATATTCTGTCTATAGTCACATTGTATATATGGAAAAAGCAGCACCTTACTTGAATCATTTTCGGTTCCGAAGTTCAGGTTTCAAGACACCTAAGAAACTCAGTTGCTTAAGTTCTACTCCCACTGTATCTATTTTCTACAGCCTAGCATAAATAATAGAAAGTTTTGATTGACAGATGACAGAATCAATACTGTTTAAAATTAAATTAAAAATAAAATACCTTTTCCTTTTTGTGTTTGTGTTCTCTCTTAGTCTTGTGTTTCTCTCTGTTCTTTCTATGTTTTTCTTTCTTACTAGGCCCAGGAAAACTTGCTGGCGCCACTGGATCTTGTTGCCAAGTAGAGCCTAAAGCACAAAGCAAATGAAGAAAAAAAAAATGACAAAAAAAGATAATTTTATATTAACTTCTATATTACTTTTCATGTAATAGGATAGTTTAAAAAAATTAATCTAAGATTTCAAATGGAAATGAAATGTCTACAACTCCTAGCTGCAACGTTCCTACTGCAATTAAATGCCTTTGCAATCTGTTATTAAAAGAAACTGTAAGGCTGGTCCTATATTTTCACTACGGCTTCTTATCATTGCCTCTGTAGAGCCACAACGAAAGTGGTACACAGACAAAGAGGTTCCTGCTAGTCGATCACAGCATGGTAACAAAGCATTTGTTGGTGCCAGTTTGACATAACTCAGGCATTTAAGAGGTAAAGTACCTACTCACAAATATTTTTTTTTTAAAAGTGAAATATCGTGTATCTTGCATAGAACTTCAACGTGTAGAATTTGCCCACTAGAATTCTACAGAACCTACCAGAAGAAAAAGCTGGAGGCAACTTTGGTCCAAACTCCTCTGCTGCATCCGCTTCCTGCCTTGAAGTTGGCAGCAAAGAAATGCCAGGATCAGCTGCAGCAGCCGCATTCTCTATGGAAAAAACAGAAATGTCTTTATTTGAAAGGAAAATAAGGTAACACTTTTTCCAAGAAGCACTGAAGAAAGTTAAAGCAGTCCTGGAGTATTTGATTCATAAATGAAGCTTTTACAAGGTATTTATACAAATGAATATCCATTAAGTACTACCTTGTACATTTGATGAGGAGTTGTCTGGCAGATCAACTTGCTTGGTGGTTTCTGAATGTATTTCGGAGGTAGGTGGTTGCTGTTCTTCATCACTCTCTTCTTCAGAGGAAGATGATTTTTCATCTGAGGAACTCACAAAGATGGCCTTAAATAAGTCCATGGATGGTCTGCTTTCTTCTTCTTGATCCTTCTCTTCATCAGCTACCTGCAAAAAACATCATAACAAACCGAACTTAAACACTAAAGAAACTAACAACCTCTCACTGATAAGTAATAACTTCTAACATGCTGACATGTATTTACAAAACAATCAAATATCACAACTGCTGTGAAATATAGTCTTAGGAATTGCTAGTCCAAAACAATAAAACTCTGGAATGCTGCTGAACTAAGTCAGTGTCCTGTAAGTCAGGGCAGTGCAATCCGTGCTACACAGACAGTTGGAAACAGATCCCAAGATATTATAAATTTTAACTCATTAATTCAAACTTAAGGTATACACTACTAAATTTAAGCAAGAGGAAAACACCACCTTTCTCCCCAAAGCATGCACTCATCTCCGTTCTAAACAGAAAAAAAGATATACGACGTGCTTGTGAGCAAAGTGCGTGGGTATAACTCCTGCTGAGCTACATTTTATCTTCTCTTAAGCTGCTATGTCAAGTACAGTCACACATGCTGTCCTCGTATGCTGTAAGTGTTTCATGTCTCAGAGTTATAACCTCAAAACTCTTCCAAGTACAATCTCACATCTTTGCTTATCCCGAGCTGGCTCTCCTGCAAACTGATCTGTATTAAATCAATTCCCATGTCACCCAACCTCATTCTAGGGTTGTGAAAAGTTTACAGCTGCCCCTTAGGTCCCGACGCAGTTGTGAACTCACCTGGGTGGGAAGAGTTTCACTCGGCCCACTCCTGCTTTCTTCTGCTGCTGGCACTGGTGGCTGCTGCTGAGCATCAGCTTTTGATCTAGCAAGACTAATGAATTCACTGATAGAATCTTTTTTCTCCTTCTCTTTATCTGACACATCCCATCTTGAAGGTTTCTTTGGTTCTGAAAAAGACCCAAACATTCAAATCAGTTGCATGCCAAATTATCCTGCATTTCTTGGCTACCTGATTTTAAATTACTCTGCTTCTTCAGTATAGTTTGATACTTTTTAAATCTTTCCAATAAATATCTGACCTATTAAGGTATTCTAGGTGGAAGAAATTATATCACTGATTTCAGTTTTTGTATGACTGAATTTATTTTCAATTTTGTTCCTCTTTTCTCAAATTAAAAAAAAAATAGGTAGATAAGTTCTCGATGACAAATATACGCTTTTTCTATTTTATTATCTCATTTATAGCTAAAGTAATAAAGTAACAACAAACTTACTGTTGAGACTGTTATTCTGTTGGATTTTTTCATTTGTTGCTTGAGTTACAGATGTGGTGGGCTCAGGCACAGTTAAGAAATTAAACACAGAATACTTGTCTCGTTTCACTTTTGGTAACCCAACAATGGTAGAACTAGAGGGAAATAAAGATGTTTGTTGATTATTATTTTCAACACAGAAAAAGCCTCAAATTATCTACCACAAGTTGAAACACCTATAGCAGTCCTTAAAATGCATACTATTTTGTCAGAGGTCACCATGTTTAATGAGGCAAATAAAAACATTAGGCAGCTCTATGTTATGCCTATTATGACACAAGAAGAAAACATCAAGCCAGATTTTCCACAAGCATATGAAATACTCAGAATTTTCAAAAAGTGTTAAAAATAACAGCATCAATCATCTTACTCAGGATATGGGTCAGGAACATTAAATCTTTTACACAACAGCTTTTCAGGATGCCATTCAAACTTGTCTCTCGTGAGTTTGCCAAACATCTTCATCTTCACGGCAGTTTCCTTATCATCGATGTCATTCTGAAAATGCCAAATATTTATAGCTGCTAAATAAGTAACAACTTACTAAATAGACTGTTTCAAGAACAGGACAGAAAGATAAATATTTAAGTGTAGTTTAACAAACATCTGCTTTGTATGCAGTGAGTGTTTTCAGAACAGTTTTCTAAACAGAAGGGCAACAAAACCTGGACATTATATCTACAAAGAGTTTTAAAGAAAAAGAACTTTCCAAGTCAGGGTTAAGGCAGCAACTGCAGCTCCAAGGTACTAAAAGACATAAAAACAGCACATACCTCTTGGTCCCGAGGAACTTCCACTTTGTCAACATCATCTTCATATTTGGCCCGGGTAAACCTGGATGAGAGTGTTGAATTTGAGGATTTGTAGAACATGGCGGCACGGAAGAACTCCTCTTGTTCTCTTCCTCGCTCCCATTCTGTCATACTCGGGTCTAAATAACACTCCAATGTATCTACTATAAGAAGAGAAATTATCTACTGTAAGATAAGGATAGAAACGCTTAGCAGAGATTACAGCTGATTTAGGCCTGATGCTTTTTCAAGAAAAAATAAGATAATAAGCAAACATCCTTGCAAGTATTTAATGAGTATTTAGTTTAAGGACAGTATTAATCTCAACTGTGTTATTCCTTGATAAGCAGAGGTAATTTTGCAAGATAACATTACAAGTAAAATTTTTTTCAGAGAAATATTATAATGTCAGGATTAATCTCTTCAGGTACCTTTTTCTCCTTGTTTAAGACTTTTCAGAAAGTTTTCATATCTTTGTTGTTTTTCTGGATTTTTTGCAAATGGTTTGAAGTCACTAGAGCCAGCGTTTGCTAACTGCCCCCCCAACAACATCTGCCATTTGTGAGCAGCATCATCTGGGGAGGCTGGCTGGAACCTGCTGCTCTGAGACTGATGAGGCAACGCTCTTGCTTTCATTTGTTGTTCGGATGCTTGTTTCACTTCTTTAAGTCTTTCTCTGTCTTTTTCAGACAGATATTCCAAAACAGAAGGAGCTGGACCTAAAAAAAAAAAGCCAAAAAAACCCACAAAATAGTAGCAATTTTTTGTTTCTATTTATCTTTTACAACTATTTATACCACTTTAGCAGAGGAAAAAAGCCTACCACTACACATATATGTTTGGAGAAAAGGCTCTTAAGCATCAATAATCAGTATAATGGCAGAAGTCAGCCAAAAAAATTGGCTACTATTGCACCTTTGATGCTATTTACCACATATTGACATATTACTTCATACCCTTTGCTATTGTAGTTACAAATGTGAACCACGTTTGCAAATTACATTGTTAGTGGATTTCCATGTATTTCAGTGAAACCTCATTTTTACAGGGGGAAAAGATAAAAACTAACAACTCACTGCCTACTATATTCCTAATTCATAAGGCCACCAAAAAAAAAAACCAAACCACAAAACCAACATAATAAAACACAATCCCACACAAACTTTTCTTTAGAAGATTGAAGTAAATGAAAATACAGAAAGGTATGTCAACAATTCAACTGTGAGATAAAACTGGACAATGACAAGATATTCTAGCTAATCCACCTAGATTGAATATTTTTATATCAGAGAATAGTATTCAAGGTTAGACAAAATTTTTACTGCAATATAAACAGGGGGCCTGAAACACAAGCAAAGGTGTGCTCAGGTGTATCAATACCTTTCAGAGCAGCCTCTCCCAGACGTTCCCTCCTCTGAGATGCATCCAAAGTGTGCCTGCTTTGCTGTGCCAGATCACTCGCAAGTTTTCCAGTCGATTCCTCTAATGCCTTCTGTAACCGGCAGTTTTCATTCCCAGCTGCTATCACAGGCCGGAAGTAATGGACTGGTCTGTAATTGCGTGGCAGGTCAGGCGGGGGATAAACCTTGGCAGGGGGATGACAAAAAGAAAAGAAAAAAAAAATCCACTGAGAGAGATACAACTATGTATTTAACACCTACAAATGTGCTTGAGAAAAAAGTCACCTCAATCAAAAAACGCCTAAGTTTACATCTCTAGCAGCAGAAACAGGTATTACAAGCTACTGATTCTTTCAGAGCCAGTCAGCAAGTGGCATCACAACACAAACTTTGGGAACAGATTGTTCTACTGTTAATATGCAATGATTATGAAAAACAGGAAAACATGCAGATCAAGCTGCAGCAGAGTTAACAAGAGCCTTAATATGCATTGCTTTTATTTTAGAAAATGCTCTTGGTATTGCTAAATAGTTCCAATTTTTAAAAACAGGAGTAACATGACTTAATTAATTGGACTACTAAGTACTTCTGTGCTTACTGCATTTTAATCTTTTTTAAAGTCCTTTTCACTCACATTCTTCATTCAAGCTGTTATTTCAAAGGCTATCCCTACACCTCCTATACAATGAGATTTTATATATGACACAAGCGTCCCTCCTTTTTCTTCATCAGAAAAAGGACCATGTGATACAACTCTGTTTTTCATTCTAATCTATGCAAATATATATGGTATAAATGATGCAAACTTGAGAACGGGGCTAACAAATTAACAATAACAGCAAAGTGGATAAAGCATGGGGCCTGATTTTTACAGAAAACTCAGTATTACATCTGAAAGACCTCGATGCAAAAGATGTACCTTTTTTTTTTTTTACTTCACAGTTAAATCAAACCATTAGTCCAACTTTATGCCAAGTAACAGTGGATGGTGTGAAAGGCGTTTGCTCAAAGCCAGTACATGGCCAAAGTTTAAATTCATCCAGCAGTCTGACAAATTTCACGTTTGTACCGAGTAGCTTTCGACGCTGTAATTTTGCTCATTCAGCAATCTTTCTCACTAGCCAGAAATTTTATTTCTAAGAATATAAAAAACACTGAGCAACAGTGAAGTCCATACAGCTAATATGTCAATTTGCTGATGTTATTCTTAATACAAAAATATCAGTATCTGCTTACCTTGCTTGGACTTGATGATTTTGACGCCAAGGAAAAACCATCCAAGATTCTGCCAATATATTTAACATCTCTTTCAGACCCTACAAAAGAACCATAGAGCTGGTCAGTATTTGAAACACGTACATATGGCAAAAAGCATTTTTTTCCTGAGTATTTTCCATTTTGCGATATATTTTATGGAGCATAATTGTAGTTCTTTGTCTTCAGTGCCTTTCATTGAAATTTAAGGGTTCTGAATCTGGGTTAGTATTATACAGCTAAAAAATGACTGGTAGAGAGACTGCTGTGAGATGAACATGGCTAATGGTGAGGCAACTGTACCACTGCTGTGCACAGCTAACATCATGAGTGCCACTAATTGTGTACAACTCGCACAACGGGTACTCTAAAATCACAACAGTATTTTGTGCACTTAAAAGTTGCACTAAAACCAAAGTAGCATCAAAATAAAATTTACAAACATTATTTGAAAAAACACAAGTATCTCTCAAAAAAAAATCTCTTTGCAAGTATTGGGTCATATTTTGTAGCCATGATTCACAATCATTTGTTTCCTTCAGTGGAACTGAATGCTGTATCTCACAAAGCAGTACATATTGTCCTTTCAAAAATATAATTCGAAGGTTTAATCTATATTGGGATTAGTGGAGGACTTTAGAAATTATTTCCAGATTTGGACAATTCAATATAGAATAAAGACCAGATGAAGTTACAGACATCAGGTCTAGAAGATACTAATCCATTGAAAAGTAAAATACTTGGAAAATAGAGACTACACTTACGTCATATTTTGCTTCCCCAATACAAATTATACCAGCTCTTTAGCTAGAACTACAGTTCTTACTTTTTTTGGATTTATACTGCTTAGGTGCTGTCCAGCCATACAAGCCGTCTCCAGGTTCCTCATCTTTTAGAACTGTATCGTATTTTGAGAGTGTTTCAGTTGCATAAATATCATCATCTTCCTCCTCTAAAGCTCCTACACCAAAAGCCTAAAATGTATTTTAGAATTCAAGAGTGTAAAAACAATACTTTTAAGTCACACGCCAGAAAAAAAACTACAGGTATATCTATCCATCCATATTAGATAAGGTGTCCAGTAAACATACATATAGTGGGGAAAACTAAGCTTCACAAAAAAAAGTGCTACCAACTAGTGGGGAAAAAAAACCCCCAACACACCAAATACAAAAGCAAACCTATTCCACTGCCTTGGCAGGGAGGGACAGCGAGTTTGGTCTTTGCAGGATGAGGACAACAGCCTAATTCCACAAGGTAATATTTGCAGCCTGACTGAGAGCAGGTTAAGTTCTCAAAAGGAAAAAATATGTAAGTTGGCATGAAAACTAAACAAGTATAATTCCCAGAAATATAAACCAACAGTGCTTCTACATAAGAACTACAAATACTATAGCAAGAAGCAAAAATCTCTCTAGCAGATTCAACAGATCTAGCAAAATCTAACAGATTCAACATTACTGAAAGGATTCAGTAAAATTGACACAAAAAACGTAAACTAAAACCATAATGAACACCAACTTTCTCTAATCAAAATAACACAACAATTTTCTCCACCCAACTATTCAAAGTGAGATATTTTACAGTTCTCTAACAATATCGGTAAGCAAAGGCACGTAAGAGTTCTAAGGTATTGCCAACATTTTCATATTAACTAAAAAAAAAAAATAAAATCCTGTTCTCAAACCACATTTAAGGTGCGTACAATGCCTAAGTACTAGGTGCCTTCCACAGAAGAAAAATTAGAATTTATTTAGATTTTACTGCACTAATAATAAAACGCATTAAAAAAAAAAATGTCCTTACCTGACCCGTAATACCTAGTTTTCTTCCTTTACTGTGTCTCAGATCACCAAGCAAATTGCTTGTGTCCTCTGAACCACCTGTGAAAAGATTGAGGTGTTCTCTTCCAGACACACCAAACAAAGCTTGTGAGGGGTCCAAACCCTTATAGCCAAGTCCATGGACATTCTCTTTTGGAGTCAAATCTACTGGCATTACATCTTTTGGTGCAAATGTCACATTTTCCGGCTGGTATTCATCCTCTTCATCCTTGTACAAAATACAAGTATGGAACACCAAATATGATTAAAAGTTTTGTACACTAAGCTTTTACAACATGCAGTTGACCTGAGACTAGGCAAGTTTGCATTTCCTAAATTATATATGAAGATATGTATGAACTACACCTGCCAGGGTAGCAAAAGAATAGATTTTGTTACATTAAAAGCTTTCTTCACAATAGGTATAATAAGTATTTATGAACACTTTTAACAAAACCTCAAACTGAATGTTAAATACTGTTCAAAGACATGAGAGAAGTTTATTTTTAAATACATTATCACACGTTCTTACGTAAGTCAATGAACAACTTAATACCTCAGAACCCTCAGACAGTCCAGGTGGTAACGCACAACCATATACTTTCACTGCAGGGTCTGTAAGAGACAGAAATAGCATATTAAATTACTTATTAAATTTCTCTAAGATTAAAGATACAGAAAAACAAAAAAAAAAAAAAAGGAGGCTTTAAAATAAACTTTCTAATCAGTCCATGAATGCTAAGTTTCTATCAATGAGTTCAGGAACTTCACTGAACTTACCAGGTTTCTGCCTGCGTGGCTTTCTTTTGACGCGTGGTCCAATTCCTTGTCCTTCTTTCCAGCCCATTTTTCGTAACAATTCAACCCCAACTGTTATTCTAAAAAAACAAAGAGGAAAAAAATTACCTCAAACCACATTTTTAGTATTTCTGGAGAAACAATATACATATATACCATTCGAAATTACGGTTTTATACCCTACTTTAAAATTAAATCTGAATTCATCAACATTTGCAAATACACTACATCCCAGTTTATAAATGTTTACCTGATACAAGACTGCATGTATAAAACAAAAACAGAGGCCATCTAGAAAGCATAACGCTGCAGATCTTCCAGTCTCCTTTGTGGGTTACTGTGGTCAAACCTTACTTTTCTAACCAATACAACACTTCTAAGTGAAAGGAATTGTTTGTTTAACTCTAATTTTACTTACTTCGATGGTCCTATTAAATCATCAAATGCAGTGGTTCCTGGAATGGCAGCAACTACTCCTGCGATCTGTCTAGCTTTCTCTTTTAGTCTGTCTTTAGCTTTGGATGCAAAATCATCTGTGGTTGTAATATCTTTTGGTGCTATCCCAAATTCACTAAGATCCTGGAAAATACAGACAAAATGGAAAAGTTTAGATTAAAAAGAAGCTTCCCCCAAATGCTTACTTATTGTAATGGTAAAGGAAAGAAAACAGGATATGACCCTTACATTGGCTAAATTTTTCAAGACTGTATAAATCAGCTGCTTTTTCAATGACTTGAATGATCATATTTTAAACAGCTTCAAGAGTATTTGCACTTTCTGACAGAGGAAGTGAAAGGGTTGAGTTCTGGGGCTGTTTTAAATACTGAGATTACAGGAGCTTCCTAAGTGAATCTATGAAACATCCTATAGGACCACTGTATAGAATAAAGTGATTATAAAGTTACTTCCATTTTAATTAAGTTTTTTAGGAGATTTCATTGCCTGAAACACCTGCTGTCATAGCAACTACTTCCAAAAGATTCGTATTCCTTTATAAATTTACCTCTTCATCCATGAAGTCTTCTGGTCCAAAGACGGTTCTGTCTGCCCTCTTCTGCCGTGATGATACAAAAGCTGAAGGAGTCCACCCTTTAAAGAAAGTAAATATTTAAGTAAGGTACTGTAAGCAGCAATGTAATATTTGAAAACAAATCAAACATTTCAACCTTACACGTTAAGGATACATCAATGGAATACATATAAAACTGCAGCTCAAAAACTCAAGGGGAAATAACTTCAACGATACTGTTTCAACTATTTACAGCATAATGAATAGCTGGGGAAAAAAATGCTTAATGACAGTTAATTTGTTTTCACTAACATTACATTATGGTAATCAATTAACCACTCCAAGAAGACAGAAAAATATCTAACCTTCCTTTGTGCCAACAGTGTTAAAGTAACCTGCTGAGAAACCACCAGTAAACGCTCCATGGAAACGCTGGTATCGTCCCTTTGCATCTTTAACAGTCTGTTCTTGAAGAGGAACTGGCTTTTTAATTCGTTCACCTACAATCAGATAAATCAGAAACTAAGTCACAACACTGCATAAAGAATGGACTCTCCACTTGCTCTGGATATGTTTATTCCTTGCAATTAAGAAGTGAATCAAATAGTAGCCACCCTGAAAAGGAAAGCATCAGCAGTTTACATTTATTCTCACGCTACTTTTAATATTTGGACACACTATTAACGTACACTGCTAAAGTAATGAAGCATTCAAATAGAAATCCTAAACTCCAGCAAGTTCCGAGAATGCGTTTTTTTCCTGCGAAAGGACACCTTCAGCTGCTAAACATCTGACAGAATTTCATCATTTAAGTAACTGTGTAGAGAAATTACAGCACATCACAAGTGTCCAAAACTGGAACAAAACACAGGAGCTACGGACTCTGACATAAACATTTGCACAACATTACTATGAATGAAGGGGCACAGGCTCAGGAGCCACAGCTGTACAGAAGCACTCGGACGACACTGAATCTGTGCCATGCATACAGCAGAGGACGTTCACATCAGTGCAACTTCGGCTGCTGTATTTGAAATCTATTCTTTGAGACTGGGGAGAGGACGAACCGACAGGCCAGACCCAGCCCCAACCAGCACAGTGCCGGCTCACACCGCAGCTGCCAGAACCGCCGAGTGAGCCTTTTAACCCTCCTGCGGTGGGCCGCCCACCTCCCGGCCCTAGGCCGCCCACCTCCCGGCCCCAGGCCGCCCGGCCCGATGGCCCCTCGGCCCAGCCCGCCTGCCAAGGCAACCCCTGCGCCCCGGGGCGGCCGGAGAAGGGGGAGGCAAGTCTACGCTGGGCCCACTACGTCACAGCGTTCCCCAAGTAGAGGCCGCCATAGCATGGACAGCATCACCAGGCCGGGCCAGGCGGGCCCTTCGGGACACTCCAGGGCTCAGGCCGAGCTGCCTCCCGGCCGGCGCTGCAGCCCAGCCCCCGCCGAAACGCACGACGGCGGTACCGAGGAGGCGCAGAGGAGGTCCCCGGGGGCCCTTACCCTCCTGCAGGGGCTGCAGCGCGCTGCCATAGCTCACCAAATCCTCCTCGTCACTGTCGCTGGACTCCGCCGCCGCCATTTTGACGCGGCGGTGGTTGGCGCAGGACAAAGCGTGAGGGAGGTGGGGCGCCTGCGCGGGCCCGCCCCTCAGGGCCCGCCCCTCAGGGCCCGCCCCTCAGGGCCCGCCCCTCAGGGCCCGCCCCTCAGGGCCCGCCCCTCAGGGCCCGCCCCTCAGGGCCCGCCCCTCAGGGCCCGCCCCTCAGGGCCCGCCCCTCAGGGCCCGCCCCTCAGGGCCCGCCCCTCAGGGCCCGCCCCTCAGGGCCCGCCCCTCAGGGCCCGCCCCTCAGGGCCCGCCCCTCAGGGCCCGCCCCTCAGGGCCCGCCCCTCAGGGCCCGCCCCTCAGGGCCCGCCCCTCAGGGCCCGCCCCTCAGGGCCCGCCCCTCAGGGCCCGCCCCTCAGGGCCCGCCCCTCAGGGCCCGCCCCTCAGGGCCCGCCCCTCAGGGCCCGCCCCTCAGGGCCCGCCCCTCAGGGCCCGCCCCTCAGGGCCCGCCCCTCAGGGCCCGCCCCTCAGGGCCCGCCCCTCAGGGCCCGCCCCTCAGGGCCCGCCCCTCAGGGCCCGCCCCTCAGGGCCCGCCCCTCAGGGCCCGCCGCCGCTCCCGGGCGCCCCTCAGGGCCCGCCGCCGCCAGCGCGGTAGCAGTGAGCCCCGGGGGAGCTGCCTGGGGCCCCGCCGGCCGGGAGAACTCCGTGAAGAAGCGTGGAAAAGGCTGCCGTGTGCCGCTCCAAGTGACCGGTGCGAAACGCCGTCTGATGTCTTTAAAAGTTGGTAACGCTAAAAAAGTTAAACACTTGGTAATCAGCAGCCGTTGGATCGACTACCGGGGGGCACCTCATGCGGCAGATCAGGCCCACTCGCACACCACCTCAGGAGAAGGAGGACAAAAATTCCGTGAAGAGATTTTATCTAAACCGAGACGTAAAGCTAACTGCACCCTGAATCAGTACAAACAGGGGAGGCGTGGAACTAATTGAATTACAGGCTTTAACAGATACGTATTCCAGTAGGAGGTGTCCCTGCCCAGGGTAGCGGCCTGGAACTCGGTGATCTTTAAGGTCCCTTCCAACTCCAACCTTTCTATGATTTTATGATACAGCAAAATCTGCCTAACCACGTTGTTTTGTGAGAAACTCGATGCTGACAGGAGTCAGTGCGAAGTCTCTGCATTTGAACCTGTAGTAAAAGAGCTTTATCCCTCTGTGCTTTCAGGTGTTTCTGCACCTCTTTGGGGAGTCTCGTATCATGAGAGAAACTTTTCCTGAGTATTTTTATACAAAGACCACGTAAGAACCAGGAAGTATTCGCCGGTAAGACCCAAGTGTTCCAAATTTGTATTTTAATTTTGTGGCTTTCCACAGCACTAGCCATGAGAAACGCACATGTCAGTTTTGATTAATTTCATTTCTCAAGCTTACATTTTACCTTAATTCACTACAAGCACAATATATTATAAATTAAAAAAAAAAAACCAAACCAACAAACCACCACCAACAACAAAAAAACCAAACCGCCAAAAACCCAAACAGAAGAACACTTCATTATGTGCTGAAGATAGTATCAATCCACAACTTTTGTAAGCAAGTACCACCAGTTTCTTGAAATCCTTGAAAATAATTCACAACATACTCTTGAGAGATCCCTGCCGTTAGCAGACAAGACTTCTGCAAATTTAATGGCTTATTGTCTAATCCACTATTTGTGTGTGTTTGTGTACACAGACCTGTTTCTTTCAAAGTGAAACTACCCGAGTTTCATGTGGTGTCAGGTTTCCATAGGAAATGTTTACACGGTTCTGTGCAGGTAGGTAGTACTCTGTTTAATTTAGGTCTCTAATTCACTTTAAAACAATATAGTAGAAGCCACAGACATTTATCTACATGCATTATCTTTTCTCATCATTACTCATTAGTAAGCAGTTAGCTAGAACATACAGTGGCAAAATGAGTTGTTAGCAGAGTTGCTGTTTCTCTTTGTTTAGGAAATAATTGTTCCTGAATAGTCAATTCTATGCGACTTCGATTTAACACACAGGCTTAAATAAACCTTTTTTGTACAATGTTAACAGAAAATCTTTTTAATATCTTGTCTGTCATGTTCAAAGAGTTGGAATAATCAAATATTGAAGTTTTCTTCCCTTTAAGGCTTTTATCAGATTAGAATTACTGCTGTATCCCAGTGGTATTTCCTTCTCCACGGTAAACTCCCTGTCCTGTTTACAGTCGTTAAACCAGGTTGACAATTGCTATTTCTAGCTGTTAAAATAGACAGTAATTCCAGCGTCTTTTGATAATTGTAATGAAACTAAAACATTAGTAGGTCAGGATAGCTTACATTTAAATTACATTTTTACCGTCATTTGGCTGGTAAAAAAAAATAATCAGCATTTTTGAATGACAGCTCAAATACTTGCCAGTACATACAGGGCTGAAATTGAGCCCTGGAGCCACAGATGGACTTCAGGCTACGATTTTCTAATACATTTTCAACATCTGCTTTTAAATTAGTGCTTCAAGAAGATCGTCTTTAAAAAGTGTCTTCCTACATCTTTTGTTTTATTCTTTAAAACCAGTTTTTCAAATAGATAACTTCTTGTTGATTAGCTTTAAGTTATGGGAGTCACTGGAACTTCAGAGTAAAAGCAGCATAGCCAATATGTAAAAGAAAGAAGCAAAACATTGATTCATTTACAGGGGTGTTACAACATGTTAACAAAAGGAAAACTAAGTACAGGGAGTATGAAAATGTAATGTTAAATACACTAGCCAGCAAAAAGAGACAAAGAGCTTGACTTCACCTCTGCCTTGTCTCACGTTCCATGGGAGCATTTCCCCAAATATTCCTCCTGCCAACACATGCCTCCTCTATCCCTTGAGGAAACAGCCACATGAAGCACAGACCTACCCCAAGGCAGTGTGTTACCTTCTACAAAGGACTAGTTTTCGTTTTTTAAAACAATGAACAACAACAACAACAACAAAAGAGGTAGGGAATGTTGTCCTGAAGTGCACAGATTTTCATCAAAAGACAAGGCATGATCTGGGAAAAGCGGTGATGATCCCGCCTGTGTTTGGCCCCACATACTGAATTCCCACCGAAATGGCAATGTCTTGTTTCCCAGAGGCTCTCCTGGCAGAGCAGGCAGGTGTCCCAGCTGTGCAACAGTGGGATTTTCTTTCCAGGAGGATGGAGCTGCAGTTCACCCCTGTCCCAGGTTGTGCACCTGAAGCGGCAGCGGTGAAACGCTACAGCTACAGTCACACCATGGCCATCCAAAGCCCTTACGCTGAGCTTGGGTACCATTTTTGTAACTTTTTTGCTATCACTCAGTAAATGACTTGCTAAGGACACCTGCTACTGGCACTTCTTACTTGCAGTTCCTGTCTGGTCACTTTTCAATTCGTCTGTCATAAAATGCAGAAGAACTTCTTTTGTTTATAAGAACAATTTCTCATTCTTTACTCTCAAACCTTTCCAACTTGAAGATCTCCTCCATCTTGTAAACAGGTAACAGTCTCAAAGCAGATTGACATCACTGTTGATACTGGGCCCCCATGCCCTCTTTTTGCCATTCATCATCTCTCTTTTTTTTCCCTCCCCAAATAAATATTTGGAAAGACTTGAGAGTGTGTGTGGGGAATAATCAGCCTATTGATCCCTTTTCCTCTCTCCTCACCTGAAACTTTCCTGCAGTGGCCAGACATTTGCTCCTTATGAACTGCACTCTTCAGAACTAGAGGGTGGTATCAGCTGGGCTGACTCGCTGCAGCTGGATTCTTTGACCCTAGAGCTACAGGCTTTCAGGGTTACTGATGAAATCTTCTCTTTCTGCTCAGAACAGAAGGTCACTGTCCAAAGCCACCAAGAGCAGGAGGAGAAACATGTAACTGTGTGTCAGATTGGAATGCACGAATGGACCTGGAGAAACTGCAGGAGCTGATGCATCCTTCTCCCTTCACACAGGATCATTAACATGTTTTTGCTGGTAAGGATGTGTCTTTTTGGGACAAAAGCTGTCTGTGGGGCAGGTGTTGCCATCCTGTAGCCACCGGGCCTCTGACATCACAAAAAAGAAGCCTTCTCTTTCCGGAGAGCAGCACCTGCCCTAAGTCAAACCAGATTCATCCCTTCAGTATGTAACAGCACACATGTCCCAGCAGGAAATGAATTTCCCAAACTGAGACCATTTCCTAGCAGCCAAACAAAGACTAAATATGGAATTTCATATATTTTCATATTTTTTCAAGGGGGGGGGGGGAGGACAAGGTTGACTGAGCAAGTGGAGTGATACAGACATAACAAATATGGCACGTGATGTGTACATGTACACAGGTATCATATTTACTATGATGTGCCTGCTGCAGGGCTGCCCAAGTTCTGGCCCCTCTGACCTCGCTGCCATGGGACAAAACCTGGGACAGCCCAAGCTCTGCCTGCTCTCAGGGGGCCATGGCCTGGGGCATCTGGCCGGTGTCTCTGTGAAGCTGCGTAGAGCCAGATAGTGCCAGTTCTGTGAAACAAAGAGGGAGATTTGCTGCAGAGATAAGATTCATTGCTTTCAATTTCAGTGCTTTAGGCACAACCTGCTGCTCTTCTTTGGGTGCAAATTCTTAAGCATTGGATGCTTTCTGGGAGATAGTACATTGTGAGTGCACCAGATCAATGAATTTACTCTCCTCTAATGTTAAAGATAAATGTCAACCAAACATCTGCATCCACACGCCCCTTTGTCTGAGTGCAGATGCTCCATGTTCCCAGCCTGTCATTACTCCACAGTGCAGCAAACCAAGCCTTCTGATTAATCCTGAGAAATGGAGAAGGTCTGCGGTACGAACACGCCTCTGTTTAGGAATTCTAATAGCAATCAAAAAGCTACAGAAAACAAGACATTTGACCAACCGGTGAGAAGAGCAGGGATGTGTTTCTGAGGGTACCTCAGGTTTTGGAATGCTCTAAGCTGCAATTTACATTCCAGGGTCAGGGAGTGCTGCTGCCCGGTCATTCCCAGCTGGGCCCTGGCACTGACGCCGTGCTGTCCCCCCCTGCCCCTTCCC